CCGCTCATGAAAACTCAATGCTCTACGTGATTCACATCGCGCGCTAAATGTTTATCATGACAGTCTCTGCGATGTAAAAATCTTCAACTTCAATCTTGACACTTTGGCCCAGCTATAGCAAATTACCAATAGTTTGAACAACACATGGTGGAAAATGAACATTGCTCGATTGAGAAGCTTGCTGAAACCGTTGTAGTGCGCGATTTGACTCACGTAGAGCTTTGAGTTTCTTGTGAGCGGGCAGTTCAAATTCCTCGTAATCAGTGCGAAATAAAAACGTTAATATCTTCGTTAGAAGTTGATTTCGGTAATTTTTGTAGTGTGAATTGTGTTCTACGTGAAATTCTGGTTAAGAAACATGTATCAGATTGCTTAAATTCGTACCTTGTCTAGTGGTCCATTGTCCTCTAAATGTACCCCTTTTAATGTAAAATGTGACGAAATACACACCAAAATTAGCAGTTATAGTAAAAAAATTAATGTCCGACCTCTCTAATCGACTCGATCCACTGTGCGGCGTTGCTAACACAAGGAACGGGCCGATACGGGGCGCAAGGGGATGCGACGACGTGGATTGGGGGCGGGGTCGGTCGGGGGCGAGAGGAGAGCGTCAAATATCTGCACCTATCTAACTTCCGCCAACTTTCGAGCGACGGCGATGCGACCCGGTGCGGGGCGGCGTCAAAGGCCCCAACTTTGATTTTAATAACTTTCCCGCGCGCCGTCGTCGAGGTGTTGGCGAGTCGTAACAAGAAACTCGTGCAGACTGAGGACTTTTTCAATTTCAGCGGAGCATTAAGCACATCGAGCATGAAACGACATTAATACGCGGTAAACAAGCTGCTCCTATCACGGGTAACGGTGCAATTTGGAAACTTTGCCGAGGAGACGCGATTAAGTTAACTGCATTTACTGCCGCGCTGAAGAAAAACGCTGTATGAGCCTTCAGCCGTTGCCAAATTACCTTCGATAAAACCCGAGTTTACTCAGAAAATTGAGAATATTTTTATTTCAAAATTTTCAGACGATTTTGTACGCAATTTAATCTAAGATATCTGAAAATTTTAGGGAAAAATATGCATGAATTTCGTCAAAAATACATGTATTAGCAAGGGAAATTTGGCAACTCTCGAATGTTCATACGGCGTTCTTCCTTAGCACAGCAGTTTAGCTCTACGACAACTTCCTCCGAGTGAGCGACGCTTATTAGCCCCTTAGTTTCGGTGCCCTTGAGTAGAGTACCTTCGTAGGGAGGGTTGAGAAGCTTCGTCACAGTTTCTGACGTGGTCGAACTGGCGTGCAATACGTAGCATCTATTGAGTCCAAGATCTCGGTAGACTCAGATTTTTTAGCTAAAACAAAAAAAAAACAAAGAGGATGGCCTGTGCGCATATGAGTCTAAAGAATCATTCTAAACCAAAAAATTGGCGAAATTCAAAGAAATGAAAGCAGGGCCCTTTTCGGACAAAATACCGTGCATTAGATGCAGAAATCAATAATTGAATTGCATATCACATCTATTAAGTCCAAGATCTCGGCAGATTTCGATTTTTCAGCCAAAAAAAGAACGATGGTCCGTGCGCATGAGTCTAAAGAATCACTCTGAACCAAAAAATTGGCGAAGTTCAACGAAATGAAAACAGAGTCTTTTTCGGACAAAATACGTTGCATTCGATACAGAAAACGATGATTTAATAGTGTATAGGATGCGAGGTATTTTTCCCACAAAATCCTACTTTCATTTCTCTGCATTTTGCCAATTTTTCGGTTTAGAATGATTCTTTGGGCTTGTGTGCAAGCTTATCGTTCTTTTTCGGCTGAAAATTCAAAATCTACCGAGGTTTTCGACACAACAGATATGTAGTATAGTTCTGATATTGCACGCCAGTTCGAACGCGCTAGAGACCGTGACGAATCACCTTAAGACAAGTTGACTCACGGATGTTTGAAACTGGAATAAGGGTTACACAAATCCAACTAACTTACTTCGGAAAAGAAAAAACCTCGAAAGCCCTTTTGATGTTTCTTCTTCTTCTTCCCGCCAAAATTTGCCGCCCTTACGCAGTGTTACCTCCTCGGTAAATCTAGAGTCCCTTTATACTGAGAGTCAGGACAATGCGAATCCATTTCTGATTGGTTAACCAGATTTTAGGCCTTCACAGTGTCACAAACGGGAATAAAGATTACATTTTCACCAATTGCAAAGATTATAATCTGGAATGGACCGAGGTTTTTCGGGTTCGACAAGGAACAAACGGAATGAAAGAAGGAACGGAGAGAGGAATTTAAGAATGAGCCGATCAAAGATTACGAAAAACGTTCAATTTCTGTAATCTTTATTCCCGTATGTGACTCCGTGAGGGGTGTTGTCTTGACTCTCAGTATAAAGGGACTCTAGGTAAATCAGGGCATGGATACTGTTCGGGGTCGGCAAAGGGCTGAAACTCGGTTTGTGCCGCCCATTATAATAATTATATCAAACGCCCCGCGAGGGCAGGCGAGGAAAGCACTCTAAAATTTTGGTGAAACGAATGAAAAGAGTTGGGAAGGACGGGTGGAGTGAGGGTTTTAGTCGCGGAGTCAGACTTGGAGTTAGTTATCATTCGATTATTCGGGGCCGGGGTGGCATTGGCACGGTGACAAATCAGAGACGATCCCATTGTGTGTCGAAATTAGGGGGCGAATATCACAGGCCCGCTCCCCTGCGCTATTGGCGTTTTCCAGAAAATCTAGTCGCGGCGCAGCTAAGGGTGACGTACTCGTATCCAACTTTAAACAAAATGATTTTAGCGAAAAAAATAAAAATTTAGGTCGGATAAATTTCTCAACTGAGATTCGAATTTTTTTTCTGAGCTTTGGGCTGTGTAACCTGCTGAAGATTTTCGCTTTCCGTTACAAAATGGTGGAAACTGCAGGAGTGGTATCGGTTGTAATTTGCAAGATTGACATCGGCGATCGTTTTGCGGAAATGTTTTCGGTATAGAAAATGTGCACCAATTGGCAACGCCGCCATGACTGCAACACGCTCATTCGAATTCCGAGGAACTCGTGGTAAACACGATTGTAGATGCGACGTAAAAAACCTTAGGAAACGAATGTGCCTGAGGAAACCGGAGCGCCTGCAATTTTTTGTGTATGCAATACGGACATCCTGAGAACACGTATAGTTGCATCCAGACTTGGCTATTGAAACAGCTGGAGTGCCTTCAATTTTTTTCCAATTGTGATGGGAAAAATCACTCATTGCATTCATAGGTCGTGGATGCACGAAAATAGGGCGCTTCGAGTCTCTTGGTTGAATTCAATTCTTTGTAGCGGTGTGGAAATCAGCGGAGAGTTGACTCGTGCTCCATTTTCAGGGGGGAAAAACTGACAACAATGAGGAAACTTGACGATTTCCGCCTACTCGTGGATCGCGATAGCGGAGACAGTGCATTGTGCTTTTATTCATTCCGTCGGCTGCAGCTGAGCCAACGCCCTCGACAAAGTGAGGAAGCGGGCTCAAGCGTCGATGGTCCTCTTTCAGCAACAGAGTTCGCGCCATCACAGAATGTTTATTCAATTACAGCTTCATCATTATTCTCCTCACTTCAGTCACTTCCGATAGCATAAACTCAAAAAAAGCACAGTCTCATGTTAAAGTTCTCTGGTAGAGTGACAACACTCTAAATAAAATAAAAAATAAATATAAAATTGAAAATTCAAATTTTCAGTTAATATTCGGTTATTTTCAGTTAGTATTAATGGTAAATTTCAAAAGAAAAGGTATCGAATGCCTCAATTTTCTTCCTTTCTTGACCCTCAATTTCCTTAACCCTACAATTTTTTGCTCATCGAATATATTTTACGGAATGTAAACTGACTTAGTCATTTTCGATCTCTTTTCGGGTCTAATATTCGCCTAAACATGGGTCTGAGGCCAATTTCAGCGAGAAATGCGGATTTTTCGGAATTTGAGCGCAAACCCGCAATCTTCGCCGAAATCGGCCTTCTGACCCATGTTCAGGCCAGTATTAAAGTAAAAAAAACCCGGAAATCATCAAATCATTATGCATTCCGTAAAATATAACCCATACGAACAAAAAATTGTAGTGTTGAGGAAAGTCACTTGGTGTGGGCCCGAAAACGGCCCTTGCAGAGACTCATCCTTTCCAGCCTTTTCAGAAATGGGGAAATGCCTTTGCATGAGAAACTTTTTACGTCCGATCCCTCACTGAAAAAGTATTTTGTAACGAAGACTGCTCTTGGTAATCCGGGGGTTTGAGCATAATATTCCATGACTTTTCTACAATTTTTCAATGTGTTACTTGGCACAGTTTCTCACGAAAATGCTTTTTACACACATTTTTTGGCGTGTCCTTTAAAAATGAAAAAACTCAAAATTTTAAAACTTGAAGGTGTAGGTTAGAATTTTGGCGTAAAGAGAGTGTGGGCGCGGTAGAAAATAAGAATTTGTCCCGGCGAGAAGAGAAGCGAGGTTTTGGAAAGCTTTCCAAATCTTGTCACCCTGTTTTGCTCCTGTCCGTGAGCAAAAGAAGAGGACTAAGGAACGACGCCGTAAGTGCATTCGAGAATTGCTTTTCCACCAAGAAAACGTTTTTTTTTTGAGGCGAGTTATGAATATTTTCTCTTGAAATTTCCAGATAATTCAGATCTAATTACGAATCAAATTCCAGGCAAAATTGGAGGGAAAGAATAAAAATAGATTTCCTTGATAATTCGTACTTCAACAGGGGAAATTTTGCCGCGTCTGATGGCTCGCACAGCGTTCTTCCTCAGCACGGCGCGGTGTAACGGTGACACTGGAGATATTTTCCTGATTCGTCTCCCATTTTCATACGTGTATTATCTTTCATGTTTCAGTGCTGACATTTTGCGAGGAGTCTCCTTTGAAACAACGTCGTTGAAATATGATCCGGAGCGGAGTTGCTTTACATTGTCTTACGTGAATGGGAGCGGCTGACAGTGGATTCGACGGTACGGCGTTACATGGGGGAGAGGTGGCTGGTGCATAAATGAGATCGCCCCGATACCTGCTGTACGGAGCGACGATAATTCTCACTCTCACCTGGCTCCCGCTCATCATTATCACCGTCCATAGGAGCGTCACCGTCATTTCCGGACTCCGCCGCGTCCAGAACAAGGTAGACCCGCCCGTCCGGGCCACCCGCTGCCTCCGTTTAGTTTTTGTCCGGCCAGCGGACCGATTATCGAAATTGATAGACAAAGCTATAGACAAAGGAGACAAAAGAGATATGGAGAGATCCTATTGGTGGAAGCGGGTGGTTGCAATTGACAAAAGAGGTAGGTAACAGACTAACTAACGGCAAACCGCGAGAGACCCGACAGTTAGTCTATCATTTTCTCCCTTTGTCTATAGGAACCACCCATTTCAACCAATAGCATTCTTCCATACTCCCTATGTCTTCTTTGTCTATAGCTGTGTCCATCAATATCAATAATCAGTCCGCAGCGGACCGATTATTGAAATTGACGGACAAAGCTATGTGCAAGGAAGACATAAGGAATATAAAGCAATCCTATTGGTTGAAATGGGTATGGTTCCTATAGACTAAGGGAGAAAATGATGGACTAACTATCGGGTTGTCGGCAGTTAGTCTATCACCTAGTCCTTTGTCCATTGCAACCACCCGCTTCCACCAATAGGATCTCTCCATATGTTTTTTGTCTCCTTTGTCTATAGCTTTGTCTATAAATTTCAATAATCGGCCCGCTGAAGCTTTTAATTCAATCGAGTAAACAGAGACAGTGTATTTTAGAGACCTCACATTGATATACCTATATCGATGGCCAAGGTGCAAACTACCCAACTCCACTGTGATGTTTCAGAATTTCCGCTTCTACGTCATTTTATCGAAGAGAAACATGCCAACTTCGTGACTTAAAATTTGCACAGAATATTCTGTTAGCAGAGAAGAAAAATCAAGGTTTTCCAAAAATTACAATGATTGGTTTTCCTGAAGAAAAAATGAAGTACGACAGGAAATCTGCTACGTCGCAAACGTGTACGCGGTTTCGCACTTTGGTAATCGATATATCTCCTCCATGGTGTAAAACTCACTCGAGGAAGTCAACGCTTAACTTCGCCGGATAATGGCTCATGACTAAAGAGTTGAGCGGTTGGTTTAGTTATGATCATCGTCTGATTTGCAAAAACTTGCCTGGCAACGTGCTCGCCGCGGCATTCATGGGTCCTCATTTGACGAATTTCATGCTCCACGAGACGCTGAACGATCATCATTGGGCAAAAAAGAGACTTGGCCTCCGAACTTAACAGTTGTCTCGTCCGGTAACGTTACGTTCCTGAAATATAATGCCTCTCTCTTTGTCCCACGATTTTCTAACGCAATTATCCTAATTTTAGATAATGATTTCGGGTTAGCGCGAGAATATCACTTTATTTATGATTTTTTGAACGAAGTATCAATAGGGGGTCTTTCCATTTAGAAAAAAAAAGAAGTTAGGATCCGCCTACGCTCTAGGACTACATCACTATACTTTCATAGAAAAAGGAGAGACAAATGCGATACATAGCTACTTCTTCAATCCCGTAATGGTTTTGCAGAAAGTAAAGTGACGAGTTCGTTGGTAAAAATTAGGAGTACAGTAAAAAAAGAAGTATAACGACGCAAAAATGAACGGAAAATCTAGACAGCTTTCTTTCGACCCTAGGATTTCCATCAATCTCACTTGATTCAACGAAAGTATACGCGAAGATGGATGGATGCTTGAAGAGGTAAGCTAATACCGCACTCTATTTTGACATAATCCGATTCCGCGGAGGTGCGCGTCTTTGAGTGTCTTGTCAAGCTAGGGGCTTTTCACTTCATGCCTCCCAAACGATGCTTTCATCGTCATCGAAGAACTTTAGTGCGCCCTCCATGCTTAAAAATTTGAGGGCCGATGTTGTCGCTTCCCCACTAAATAAACTGGTAAGAAAAAAATTTATCTCTTGAATAAAGAAATGTATGCATATGAATAAAAAAAACCTGATGATATTCCGCGCAGAAAATCATACAATAAAGGGATCACTCCGTGTTTATCAGACAGTAGTTTTGAATTTTCCACGCGTGTGTTTTGTTTATTTACCGTTTTCCCTATATTTTTACCGTTTTATTTTTAATTTATTATTTCATTTTTCAAATATTATTTTTCATTAAAATTTAAATATAATTACATCAGATGGAATAATTTGTTTCAATTTTTCTTAATTTTTTATTTAAATTTCCTGTCTAATTTTTTTTGAAATTTTTATTTATTTTTATAATTCATTTTTTTCTTCATCTTCCATAAAATTTGGAAGTAAAAGAAAAAAGTCGGACGACCTCCGCCAGTTTCCCTGTCCGCCAGTTTTTGCGGTTTTGTCTTCTTTTGAAAATGCCCCAAGTAACTCCTGCTGTCCACAACACAACTTCCTTTCGTCGCCTTTTTCCTCTCCTTTTGGAAGATCGGAATGGGGGGGGGGACGACGACGGGGTGGAGTAATGTATGTTTAAACAGTCTTTTACCAAATCCTTCAATCGATTCATTCGTATTAAAAAAGAGAGCACTCAACGCTGAATGTACCCTAGTATTTCCGTCACCATGCCATAAACGTAGACACAGCTAGACACGACACGTGGGCGGAGAGGGAGACTCGATCAAACACAAGCGTGTAGCCGTGTACCGCTTTGCTACGGGAAAACACCGTACGAACTTTTGGACGTTATCAAATCATTTCCGATAAAATACGGCATTCACTAAATAAAAGAAGAAAAAAATCGTCAATATTTTACTTTGAAATTTTTAGAGTCTCATTCGCAATTTAATCTGACGTGTCTCAAAATTTCAAGGGAAATTACCAACAACTTTCCTGGAGAGTGCATATCGACGGTAAGTCGGCAATCACATAACTCGGTTTGCGACGTAGCAGACTTCCTGTCATACTTTATTTCTTAGACGGAAAACTACTCAAGGACGATTCTTTAAAACTGCCGTGATTTTTCTTCTCCGTGCGAAAAAAGTCTGCAAAAACTTCACGGAATGATGTCAATTTGCTCTCCCTTAAAAAATAACACAGAGGCGGAGATTTCCAGACACCGCAAACGAGATTGTGATTGCGGACTTACCTGCCGTGCTAAGGAAAAACTCAGTATGAGCCTTCAGACGTTGCCAAGTTTCCTTCGATAGAAACCGAATTTACTCAGAAAATTGTGAATATTTTTTCTCAAAAATTTCAGACGATTTTGTGCGCAATTTAATCTAAAATGTCTGAAAATTTTTAGGGGAAAATATGCATGAATTTCGTCAAAAATACATGTATTAGCAAGGGAAATTTGGCAACTCTCGAATGTTCATACGGCGTTTTTCCTTAGCACGGCAGTTACGCCGTTCTGCTTGGGGGAAATTTGGCGAGCCTCGAAAAACGATACAGGGGTTTTCCTGGGGACGGCATCAATTCATGCACACGCGTGTCGTCGTGTGCGCGTAATGGAAGGCGCGAATGAAGCGTAATGATACGTGGTGGCAGGCGGGAGGGTTATCGAGCGGGCGTTTAACGGCTTTCGCGCGTGAGACGCCACTATTCGCTGAAAACCCTCGCGCGTTTTCCAGCGGTGATTATCCAGGCGTGAGTGAAATCTCGCAGGATTACATAATGGATAAGCGGCTTAAGACTCTTGCCCCGATGTGGGTCGCATATCTTCACATTTACGACTCACCCTATTTCAACCCCCTCGGGCTCCCCGACGCTGAGTTTCAACTAGATCGCGGCGGTGCAGCAGCAGCGGGGGAATTTTAATACAGATGAGATGCGCTGCGGTCCGGAAACGTCCGATACATGTGCTGCCATCCATAGCAAAACCGCCGTGACTCCATTCCAATTTTACATTTTTCCCCCGCACGTACTGCTCCATTGCAAGACAGGGCTTCATTTTTTCATTTTGAGTTCCTGCCTGACGGTATATCAGAGTTGCGACACACAAAAATAAAGGATGAATATTTGTTGGTTTTCTTGTAAAACAGCATTTCCCATAAAAAAAAAAAAAAAAAAAAAAAAAAAAAAAAAAAAAAAAAAAAAAAAAAAAAAANAAAAAAAAAAAAAAAAAAAAAAAAAAAAAAAAAAACAAAAAAACAAAAAAAATATGGTGAATGGAGATGCGGTGTTTTGACTTTGGACGACAGAGTAACGGTGTTCTTGTGTTGCTTTGGGAGAATTTCTGTGAATTTCCTTATGAAATACGCACAATAAGAGCAAGTTCCGTGATAGGTTAAAATTTATAAAATAATCGAGTTAATTTTGAGTTTTCTGGAGGTCAAATGGGATTGTTTTTGTGCAATTGCCATGTGCGTTTCACGCCGACCAGCAACCGCACTCGCACTGTGCGTTTGGCGCAATGCGTGAAGTATTCCTGCACTCTCGTAGGCGCTAATGTTTTCCGCGCCAACTAGCGACCACGTTGCGTTAGGCGCAATGCGGAAGGTATTCCTGCACTCTTGTAGGCGCTAATATGCGCCGATCGACGCGGCGACCGTACTATGTTTGACGAGATACGAAACGATGATACGGCATTAGATTTAAAATAAACTGTAGAAGCAAAATTTTGACGTAAAGAGACAGCGTTCATTATGCCAGTAAATAATTGCACCGAATAGTTTGAAAAGGAAAATATGAGCAGATTTGCGAAGACAAGTGAATAAGTCCTCGCCTAAGATTAAGAATGTGAAACAACCCTCTTCCGTTTCAGTAATTTTTCCCCCCTCAGACTCGTCGTTTTTTTTCTTCTTTAGGTGCTTCTTTTCCTGTTTTTTTTTAGAAGAAGAGGCAAAATATGAGTAAAAAGAACAGGAAAAAGAAATATATCTATAGAGACGGAGAAGGAAAAGGGAGAGAGGAAAGAGAAGGAGGAAAATAAGTAAAAGCGGAAAAAGAAGATGAGAAGAGTGAGAAGAGGAAGAAATAGAAAATGCCCGGGAGAAAGAAGAACATGCTAAAGATTAAGAAGAAGAAAAGGAGGAAGAATAAACATGGGGGATGGGAGTTACTGAGGAATTGAACAATCGAAAGAGACGCGAGAAATTCCGGTGCTCCAAC